AAAAAGTGATGCACAAGGAATTGCTTGCCACTCCCTGACTGATGCCTGCCCAGCCCCCTGAGCAGTGGAAGAGAATGAGACGAACTCCCACCTCCTTCAGAACTCCTTCCACACAGTGGCACATGGTATGGAATATCCGTCTGGACAGTTTGTGTCAGCTGTCCTAATTCTGTTCCCTCCCAGCTGCTTGGGCCTTTCTTTGAGAACTGGTTCTGAATAGCAGCGCTTAGCAGCAGCTATAAACATCAGTGTGTTATCAACACTGCTCTTCCCCTAGAACTGTAAAACAATCCAAGGAGGGCCTGTGATTTAAAAAACCCACTTCTACACATGCTTATTAAGCCAAAAATAGAAAGTGACTTAATGAAAGAAGAGTAGTATTTGCTGGAAAGGGTAGAATAGTGCTTGTTGTGTCAACCACTGAAGATGAAACAAAAACAACTACAAAACTCTCAAAATGTAGGACTACTGAGTAGTGGAATGTTTCAGCTATTCTAGAAGCTGGCTGTTAGATCACAGCTCCTGACAGATTTCCAAACAAAGCATGGAAATTACTTTGCCAGCCTAAACACACAAAATGAAACACACCACTTGTGTGGTGCTTACTTATCAAATGACCTTGTTTCTTCTCATGAAGGACAGTGGTTTATGGCAGGAGTTCAGGAGTTGGAACAGAAGTACCAAAAAGAAGGGCGAGACTGACTGCTAACACATCTTTTAGGAGAGGCAATGTTTTACAGACGAACACTAAGAAATTTTGATGATTGCACTTGGATTCTTGTAAAGAAAACCAAACCGTTGAGAATGTGTAAATAATGCTGGCTCCAGGCACTTTTCCAGGATTGAAACAGAGAGAGCAAGAAGTGTAACAATGTTAATGTCTGCTCTGAGTTCACTGCCTGCCTTTATCTGAATGAGAGCAAATAATACTTGCTGGCCACAATGTTGACTTAAACGAATATAGTGCTTATAACAAGTCATAAGCAGATGTGTTCTAACCAGCTTTGGACAGATCTGCTATCTAACTTTATTAAACTTGCAAATGCTAGGTTATCTCATTCATTTATCATGCCCCATTTCCATCCCTGGTTGGCCATAGCAAGGTGTGCCCATAGAGGAGCAGGAAGTTGCTTTTCCTAGAAGTGCAGTGTGGGGTGAAGTCCCCTGCCCAAATTGGTCAGATGGAGCCAGAGGCTCTGCTCTGCTCCTGTCCAGCCTTCCTGCCAGTCTGCTTTTCTCACACCAGTGGCATCAACTCAGCAGTGCCTCACATGAATCTTAGTAATTCTCTCATTGTCTGAGCCTCTTCTATAATTTGCTGAATACTTATGTTCCAACTCTCATTAACTTATGTGAGCTAAGTTAATACTACAGTTCTAACAACAAATCAGTAACGTTGTTAGATAAATCAGTATCCTAGAGACAGGTCAAGGTACAGTCAAAGGCACTTGAAAGAAACCTTTAGGAAAACCCTACTGAAGTTTTTGCTTATGCTGAGCACAGAAAATAAACATCTCCAAGAAAGCCTAAATAAATTGATATATAAACAATTTTAACATATTTTTATATAAGTATTATTTTAACTTACATTTTTCACACTTTCCTTTTCTGTATGTGTATGTAATTATATTTTAGCTTTCCTTTCCTCAGCTTACTGATGCAACTGAACATCCAAAATTGTGTTATGAAATTTCCTTGTGTTTCTTATAAAGTTAAGGAAAGATTATTGTAGCTCTGCCATATGGGAGCAAATATAGCTTGTAAATCAGTTTCTTGGGACAAAAGCCTTAGGTATGTAGAATAGAATTGCTCAGGTTGGAAAAGACCTTAAAGATCATAAAGTCCAACGGTGACCTAACCATACTACCCTAACTAACAACCTTCCACTAAATCATGTCCTTGAGCACCACATCCAAACACTTTTTAAACACATCCAGGGATGCTGATTCTACCACCTCCCTGGGGAGCCTATTCAAATACTTAGCAACCCTTTCTGTAAAGTACTTTTTCCTGATATCCAACCTAAACTTACCCTGGTGCAACTTACGGCCATTTCCCCTCATCCTGTCACCAGTGAGAAGAGACCAATCCTCCTCTCACTGTAAGCACCCTTCAGATATTGGAAGAGAGCAATAAGGTCTCCCCACAGCCTCCTTTTCCCCAGACTAAACAGCCCCAGTAGGTTATACCTAAAGTGACAGATGCTGTGATGAACATATCTGGCTTAAACATCAGATTTGCTTTAAGCTACGTATTCCTATTTCTCAATGTCTTTATCCCAAACACTTCTTTAAGTATTGTTCAGTCTGCAATGCTTGCACATTTTAAATTGGAGGAATTTGTATTTTTTATAATAGTATACAGATTCTGAAATCTGAATTTACGAAATGGATTCTAATAACAAGGTTAATGGTTCTACCACCAAACTTCTCAAATTTAGAATTTCTTGGTGGTTTTTTTTTTTGTTTTTTGTTTTTTTTTTTTTTTTTTTTTTTTTAATAAGATGCCAGGAAGTGTAATATAAGTTATTTTTAATCAGACTGTTCACCCTATGTGACTTTTCCATTCTCTGTTTTCTTCATCTTCTTGGTTTGTCTTTGTATGACCTCCCTGTACTGCTTTATTTTCTGTCTCCTTTCACTCTGGCCATTTCATTTGTACTTTTCATTGCAGAGTCTCTGCAATGGAGCATGCAGTACAGCTTTCTGTGAACCTTTTTTTGGTCCTGTTGCTGCTGACCTCTGAAGCACAATTTTTTGTCGTATTTTTTCCTTTCCCATTCTGTATGTTCTGCTAGCCAAGGAGGCAACAGAAATGGATTGCATGCATATAGACCTCTGAAATGTGTTTCGGCTTAAGCTATGAGTTGCCCTGCTGGGTTTTTCCAGCCTGAGGGACAAACGGCCTTCAGGGCTTCCCTTCAGAGCCGATGCCTCCCTCTTCCTGGAATGGTGCTTCTCTCCATGTCCCCTCTCCATTACAGAACTGGTGAGCTCTGCTTCTTCCAGTTGTATTATGGCAAGCTGGTGCTTCAGCATGAGGCTCTCCTGTTCCCACCCTTTAGCATACAGTGTATTTGTTGCTGCTGCTCATATTACCTCCAGATAAAGAAGTACATGTTAGAGGTCAGACCAGAAAGTAGACTGCTATGGTTCAGTTGCAATAGCATAATCAGGATCTGAACTATATTTAACTCATCAGTGCACCTGTCCTTGTGTAGAAAGTTTATGCTCACAGTGTTCAACTCAGTCACTACTCTGAAATCAAACAACTGTGGCATATCCTTCATATCTAATTCGCATGTTTTGTTCCCTCTTTATAGAAGAACTTGTGAAAAATGTTGATGAACAGAAAAAAGACCAGAGCAGAAATTCCACAGATGCACAGTTACAGGAAGAGACAAGAAGCAGACAAAATGAGAGTAGTCAGGGAAGTGATGGTACAGCCTGTCCTCCCAGACCCATCGTCCTACAAGTAGTCACTTCCAACACTGCTCTGAGTGATGAATCCAACTCAGAAAAATGCACTAACTCTGATCCGAACCAGAAAGATCTCACCGATGCCCAGCAAGAAACACAGAATACAGACCCACTGAATGGTAATACTTCATGACAAAGCACCAGTCAATCTAATGAAGCTGTCCAGGGTGAAGCTGCAGCAGTGTCTGGTATCTCCCTGTCTAACTTCGACAGTGGTAAAATATTAAAACAAAGTGTTGTAAGAGAGTTTCTTCAGGAGTGCGTAGAAGCAAAAGTGTCCTAAACCCTTTAATTAAAGACATTTGATATAAGCAGATATCATCTTCATATATTAGTTATTTGGTATCTAGTAGAAAGTGCTTTACATAAAATACCAAAACTTTTAGTTGAACAGAAGAATGATTTTAAAGAAACTTAATGATGTGTTTGCAGTTAAATAGCCCTTTGTTAGTGAAGAATCAGGTAAACTTCCAAAATTAACAAAAAAAGTTAAAAGTATTTAACTTTTGCTCTTATTATAGGTAATTCCTGTTGTGCAATTAAAATGCAAACCCTTAACTGAGGCACTTCATATGACTGTGGTGTTGTAAACCATTTCTGTATAATGTGAATTTGGAATTAACACTGATCAATTTACATAGATGTGATTTGCTAGCAGTAGTAGGCATGGGACTGCATCATCCTCTCAAGAAAGATCAGTCTCCTGATTGTAATCTGCTGGACAGGCAGAAAACCAAAAAGTTCGTATGATGTCAGAATTTTTTTTTTTTTTTTTTGAGAATGCATGTATTTTTACCACAAGGTGGTTATGATTTGGTATATGTTTATTATATGACATTATCAGTTCAAGATGCCCAAGCAATATGAATAGGTTTTATGGAAGTAAGAGAAATCAGTGTGCATTTTTATAGTATCTTCATATGGTCCGAATAGTTTATTGTTAGAGTATGTTTGAGATATTAGGGTAATAGGAATAATCAAGGTATAATAGTATTGTTTCCCTCTCTTCCAATTATAACACTAAGTTCATTAATGCTGAGCTAACAGTGAGCCTTGCAGTACTGTGCCAGAAGTATGGCAACGTGTGAGCAGCGATGTTAAATGCTTATAAGACTTAGACTAGACACAAGTATATGACTTGGCATATTTCTGAGCACTTCCTTTTATGGAGAACTCCCACTTATTCATTCTGGAGTCCAACATTCACCATTTGCATTTCAGTGCTCCCATGCTTTTGTTGACAGATTTTTTTTTTTCCCCATCAGCAATAACAGATGGTTAATTTAGGGTTCTAAATCAAAACATTTACACAAAAATTAATTCCACAGCATTTGAAGTTGTGTAGTGTAGCAATTGGACAGATCAATACAATGGGAAAGGCATTACAACAAAGGTGTGGTGATGGAAAGACCAACACAACTGAAAGGTGCTGTAAAGGAAAGGAAGAAAATTGCTCACCCGTATCAGAAGATTCCAAGTTCAGAGGGGAAATCTTCACCAAGGAGGGATTCACACAGCTGAATTGCCTTCACCTGTGCAACTCAGAGCTGACCAGGTCCTTTCCCCAGATGCTCAATCAATGATTCAGGCTGTGACTCAGCAGTTCCCATACATCTTAGCAGTTGACATTTTTGTCTTTGATATGTATTTTTTTGTACCTTTTTTTTTTTTTTTCTATTAATGCTCATTTTGAAATTTATGTGCTCTAGAAAAGTTTCCCATCTACTGAGTGTAGAGTACAATAGGAAAAAACTGTGTCTGTTGTCTTTCAAGCTGCAATGAAGACATTTGTGCTGTAGCTGTCATTTTTATGGAAACAAATTGTTTTGGTAATGTCCTGAATGAAAAACCAGAGCTTTTACAGGTATATCACTCGCCCTTTGTATCACTAAAGAGGCAACAGTATCTAAGCTGTGGGATGATAGAAAGTTGTGGAAGAAGGAGTGATAAATCTGTAGACAAAATGCCTCAAGTTATCAATTACACAGTAGGAGAACTGGTGTATTATTTTTCAAGGTAGCTTCAGCAGTTGAGCTGTGTGCTGGCACTTAGTGGGATCCCTCAGCTTACACCTGAGCCATAGCAGATGTTATAGCTGATAGCCACAAAAAGTTTTGGTATAATAATGTACGTTTCTCTACAGAAACTTAACATCTGTACCAGAAAAATGTAATCATCTGCATAAGATCTTTGGAAACAGAAGAATTTTGTTTCTAAAAAGGAAGGATTTTTCTTCAGACTGCCCTGTTCTATAAGCCATGCCTTTTCCTCCTGGTGAGAGTGAGAAGTAGGGGCTGCTGCTCATGCTGTTAACAGAACATATTCCCAGCTATAGCAAGTTCTTATGAATAGTTTCCAAGCTATGTTTCAGCTGTAGTTCGTTAATGAATGCAGTCATTGTAGGGAATGATACTGTTGTTTAGAGAATATCTGTGTTCCCAGTTCTTCACATCTTGCACTTTTTAAAATTCTTTCTAATGGACTTGTGCATCCTTGGTCAACCAACTTAAGCCTAAATTATATTTTTTACTTTCATGAACCTTTTGTGGACTCTGTCGTTCATAACTCCTAGTTCCACCAGCCAGAAAATGACAAGATGAGGCTGGATTTCTCCTTTTGCTGAAGAGCTGTTTTCTCATTTACACTGTTGCAGATATTTAATTGAGTGCTACAATGCATAGAAAAAGGGCATTGATTTGATTTTGATTTTAAAAGGCATCTGATATTTGTAGGTCTTTTGTTGTCATTTTTTTATAATAGATATTTCTGTGAAATGTCTGTCCTCTGCAGTATGTTGAATTTGCTCTTAGCCATCTCCTTCTTCGTGTTCGTATTCCAGTAGAGAGAAATCACAGGGAAGTGGAGAGCTTGATGTTTTGACTGGTTTCTGTTCCATATTAATGTTTGAGCTGACCACTCACTGAATGTGTTCCTTTAGGTATTCTTTGCAGAGGGTGTAATGTTTGATATCAGATTTACTTATCTGAAGATATTTGATGTTACATTGCCCTTGTCCATCTCCACTGAGCTTTCTGCCGCTGCAGGGTTTTATTGGTCTGCCACCATGCCATTTGTGTTCTGTTTTTATTACATTGAATTGTTTGATTTATACTTTAATAACATTTCATTCTTGCATTTTCTCAATTTTCTCCAACTTTAAATGCCGTAGGAAACTATTTTGAATACTTTCTGGTCTTTTAAAGTGACTTACAGAAAGACTGTCATCATATTCTTCAGACCCTCTTTTCTAAGGACAGAAGGGCAGCCATTTTGCTATTTCACTGACGTATATACATGTGGGCTCTTGTTGTACCTGCAGTTAAACCAACGTACTGCTAGAGGCTGGGGCAGCAGACCTACTACAAAGCACAGGTCCTGGCTCTCTGAGACAAAATGAATTAAAACTGAGGTTCAGCAGCAGCTTTAAGTACCTCTGCATCAATAGTGCCACCATGTTGCAGCAAAAGAAAAGAGAAACAAAGCAGGAGCTCAGTATTGAAATAGCTGGCAATATCCAGTACCAAAGGGGATTGTCAGGTTACAATGTTTCATATTTCTTTTATGTTAGTGAAATGTAATTCTTGTAAGTGGAAGGACTTTCCTTGAACTGTCATGCTTATTTAGACAACAACAATAACACTGATGGTTTTGCATGGTTTTTCTTGCTGCAGTGTGTGTGGAGGTTGGTGTCTAATACTGCAGTTGTTGAATTCTACTGGATTGGAGAATCAGCCATTCATGAGTAGCATCAAGAGTACAGTACTTTTCACTTAGCATGTATTTTTCAAAAATCAATGGCATATAAAAATCCCTTATGAGGTGCAAACAATGAACCTCAGAGAGACCTTTGTATATGCTGAATGTGTATCAGAACTCAAATTGCTGCTGGTTTTCCTGGGTGGAATTTACTTCTCACTATGTGAGAAACGGAAGAATTAAAGGGAAAAAGACACCACATATCTGTATTCAATCTAGATTCAGCCTTGCCCAGAAACCACAATTAATCTTAAATGTTGTTTTTCTTCTCTCATCTGTTGTTCCTCCACATGGTGCAACGAGTGCTTTTCTATTTAGCAACCTAAAACTTATGGGTTGGCTCTGGCATTTCTTACTGTCAACATATGAACGTCAGATAGGAGCAAATAACTTTTGTGCCTTTCCTCACCTTTGCAAACAAGTTGTGGTCAAGATGACCAGAAGGGAGAGCTGCATGTGATGCAGCACTGTTTAGCCCAGGAGGATCTTTCCCTGCACAGCACTGCATCTCTGCTTCTCACTTCTACACCTGTGTTGATGACCAGCAGACTCAGTCAGGCCACTTTGTAAAAATAAGAGCAGGTATTTTCAACAGCTTCACTTGCAAGCTGTAAAAGGCAGTATACACATCTTTTAAGTTTTCTTTGTACATTTATCTGGACAGTATGAACATGCCTTGGGGGGGGGGGGGGGGGCAAAGAGAAAAGGTGCTGCTTTCCACTCCTTGCATCACTCCTCTTTCTCAGCTATTTACCAACCCATCATACCAGGATCTGTTTCCCTGTGTCCCAGTCAGAGCAAAGAGAACTGCTGGGGGAACTCAGGCCAGGACTGAATGCCTCTTCTTCCACAGCACTGCTCTTCTTCCTCAGTCTCACTATCATTTAATTGCATGTGACAAGATTAAGTGAACTGTTATAAGATGATTTTATTTAAGTGGTGGTTTTCCTTTTCTCCTGGGTGATTTATTAATTGGAGCATTAATTTTAAAAACTGCTTATGTTTAATTAAACAACTTAGTGTTTCAATGATTTATAATGGCTAGTTGGCACGCCTTTAACTTTTCGCTCATGATGATAGCCGCATTAATCCTTAGTATCAGAATGTAAAAGGGGACAATAAATCTGCAGTAAGGCAGAATATGGGTAAATTCGTCCCTGGTGACAGTAGAGGACTGTCAGGCACAGTGTGTTACAGTGAGCATGCAGAGCCTTCAGCAGAAACCTGTGGTAAAGCTGCACAAGCTCACAGCAACAACACACCAGTTCAGTTAATGGCAATGTGGACAGCATCAAGTAGTACCTGTGTCGTGGCAATGCCAGTGGCCCTGGGTGCCAATCCCATTGGTGCTCAGCAGCTGTGGGTGGAGGTTGTGTGCTTCGTTAGCATTAATTGTGCACCCTGCACATGGGTGGCAGTGGGAACCCAAAGGAGGCACTGGGATGAGGATAGAGGGAAGGAGATGTTGAAGGAGCAGGTGATGTGCTAATAAAAAGGATGGGGTAGAAGCCCTCAGCAACTATTGGGAAGTTGCTACAAAGTGTATGCACTTCTGTGAGGAAAGTGAAGTGTGGCTCAGGATTCAGTGTTAGTTTTTACGAAGGTTAAACGCACAGTGCTGTGTTAGAGTGGGCAGTACCCCAGCAATGAAATCACTCACAAAATCCAGTAATGAAATTGTTTGTTTACTGTAATACTGTGGTAAATTCAAGGCTATTCATTTTTTTTTTTCTTTCCTTGTGTTCATTGTCATGCACTCTTTTTTTTTCCTTTCTAAACTCTGAGCCTCTTCCTCAGCTTCAGCTCAATGAAAGACAGTCTTTCAGTGAGTTGAAGCTTCCCTTTCAAATCACACATCACCTGCTTTCATTTCTAGTTGCTTATATAGTTTGTTTTTGTCTTTCAAAAATTTTCCCCATATGCATTTTTGTTTCTAAACTTTTCCCCTTCTCTCAACTCGCTTTCTCTGCTTTTGATACTTATGTGGCTTTCCTTTTTCACGTTTTTTAAGTCAGTATTAGTGGGATCACTCCATCCATTAGTTAAAGCTAAGCATTTGCCATATAGTTGGTATATAACTCTGAAATTTGGTGCACTCCCCCCCAAGTCTACTATCCTTAATCAGTTTACAATTTTCCCAGCAGTGCTTATTCAAGGAACAGCTTAAACAGGAGCTCTGTGTAATGATTGGAAGTTTGACATTTATACTGTGTCACCTACTTTGAAATCTACATGTGTTGCTAGGTGTCACATTCCCTATCTGATTGAATTAATTGAATCTTCAAAACTTGACATTGGCATCTTCCACTCTCTGAGAGCAATTTATGCCTATTTTGGTTGCCTACATTGAAGAGGATTTAAACAGCACAGCTCTGCTGAGGGTGATTAGTTATTTTTTCAATAAATTAGAAGTTTTAAAAAAACCCACTTCATTAACACTCTCATGGTGTAGTCTATTGCTTTCACTCTATCTTTTGCACTTTAGATAAACCACAGCAATTAGTCAATTAAATCCAGTACTTTCTATGCTGAGAAAACAGTTAAAGAAAACTGTGAATGTAACCTTAGTAAAAGAAAGGGGAAAGACATTACTGCCTGTCTAGAGCTCTGCAGATGCTATAAATTTCTTTCACTTCCTCACTCAAGTTCTTAATAACATTTTTTCTTTCTTCCAGGTGAGCCTACACACTGTAAGCAAACAGAAGATATAGTAAAAGCCACGGAACAGAATCAAGCACTGGTACACAACTAGATTTACTGTTTCTTAAAAGCTTCTGACGTTTCTGGCAGGACAGGTATTTCTGTCATTTCTTTCTTATAATGGTGATAGTTTTGTACCATAAAGACTGGCTCATTGCTATTATTATTCTCTTTGTTCTATCCTAGTTGTGGGTTTATTACAAAACATTGTGCCTGGAGCATGTTGCAACCCACTTTTTATGTCCCTTTTGAAGTCAATTCATCATAACGGAAGGGAAAAACAATACTGTGTATCTGAATTCTTAATGTGAGACAAAATAACCATTCAATAAAACATCCTCAAGTCAAGTATACTGAATACTAGAAATATGTGGTAATAGTATAACAATATTGTTTATGAATTTTTACTTGAACTCTGTTGCAGAAGAAAAGAACACTGTTCCTACCTCCATGCTCTCAGAGGCTGTTGTCTGTCAACTTACTCTCAGATCATCTTGTTTCAGTGGAGACTGGGCAGAAGGATCAAAAGTGTAAAACATCAAACCCTGAGCTGGGAACTCAACGCACCGAACAACTCTCAAGACTTTGTCATATTTGTTGTTGCTTTTCCCTTTTCTATTCTGCTTTCTACAACTGGCCAAAATAATTTTTCCAGCCAAAGTTGGACCTTGCTTTGTTGCATCACTGACACCAGCTGTTTCCAAGAGACATGTGAAAACATGTTAAAGATCATCTGCACTGGATTGCTGTTCCGTGTCACTGCCACTGGCATCTAATGGAAATGGAAAGCCAAAACAAAATACTGTTACAGACACTTGTTCATGCAACCATGCTGCATGCAACATGAAAGTTCTACTTGTTAGCTTCCTTAAAATATCTGGAAATGTAAGTACGTGGACTGGGCAGGAAGTCATAGAGTTGTACTATCTATCCTGCATGAATAATGACTCTTTCCCATGTCTGCCACAGGGAGGGAGATGGTGTTTAACAAATCAGTATTGGAAATATCACCCAGTATTATGATTCAAACATACTCAGCTCCACAGTGTTTGTCACATGTCAGCACTGGTGTCAGCACTGGTGTCAGCCCTACTACGAAGCTGGCGCTTATGATTTCAAAAGCAGATGAGGCTGCTACACAAATACACAAAAATTGCTGCCCTCCAGCAACGCATAGTGTTGCCTCTCAGACAGAACTGGAAGGTAATATTGAGGCCTTATATAATGAGTTTGCTCAAATGAAAAGGTGACAGCATGGATCCGACGAAGTCCTCCCTTTGCTTTGTTCAAACACCAGAGCATCTTTTTCTGAGAGGCAGCACAAGTGGAGCACACAGGCACTTACCTCTGCCGGATATCTTGGAATGAGCCCTGCAGCCCAGCTGTGCCCAGAAGAGGCTCCACGTTCATCTCTGCTCCTGCTGAGCCTCATGGGACCTCGTGCAGCCTGCACCCAACCTCACTTCCCTCTGTTGCGGCCAACAAGGAACGTTCCTCTCTCCCTTCACCTTTTACTCTCCTGGTTAACTTGGGTCACTGCGTTCCATTTTTTGGATCCTGTATTACCTCAATATGACCAAGACTGCAGTACGCCATGGGCCACACAGAGGCACGCTTGTGGGGCAGCATTCCTCCCTGCTTTGCAGAGCCCTGGGTGCTCATCCACTGCTTCAGGAACCTAATTAGAGCTCCCATGTACCACAGGCTCAGCCTCCAGAGAATGCGTTTTGTCCTGGCTGAAGAAGGAACAGTAAACCAGCCACCCCACACGTAGGGGCACGTGCTTCTCTCTTCCTTTGACTGTCTCCTTTCTGACAGCAGATCATTGCAATCGAGCTGGGAACAATATGAGCTCTGAGCCCTGGAATAAGGGCATGCCAAAAGGTGGAATTTCTGTCGTTGAATATGTAAGCCATATACACACTATGCACAGTTAGAGTGTGTAGTTTTAACTTAAGAAATGTTTGTGCATATAGGTTGTAAAAAGTGCATTTAAATTGTCTTGTGTATCTGGTCCAGGGCTTGTATTTGGCATGGACAAAGTTCTGTACAGTGCAGCTGAAGAATGAAATGTTAACAAACGAAATTGTATCATATATGTTATAATGCAATTGATATTTTTTGCTAAGAGTTAAGAATTTATATATTATGGCAGTGTTCGAGCAAATCCTTAGTAGCCTGGATCACTCCGTGCACCTCTGAATCCATTATGGGGAATGTTGGACACATTTTTTTCTTTATAATGAAATATTTCTTATTGTTGTTGCACCAAAAAAGAGACATCATTTATATCACTTTTTTTTTCCTCATTGCAAATTGCCATATGCTGTGACAGTAGAAAACTTTCCTGTTTAAGATCTGATATCTTTGGTATTATCTCTTTTCTTTCCAAACAAGGGATCTTATTTCAGATATGTTGAGCATCTGCAGTTCCGGCCAAATTTTAAAAGTGCAAAAATTGAGAGAGATATTTAAAAATAAGGCCAGCTATGTCTTTGTCTGTAACAGTGCATTCATCAGCATTGTGATTTATCATTCCCTGAAACCAAAACTTTGGAGCCATCCAAATTTAATGTTTGTATTTACTTTCAATTTCAGACTTCTACCATAGCTGAACTTGACTTTTTCTTTATGTGATTGATATACTATACGAAAATCTTCTTCTGGAAATACAAACAGAACTTGCAGAACGCTGGGAGCATCCTGTGGGGCTTTTGGTGTCCTGTTGTCCTTCAGAAGGTAGGAGGAGCTCCTGAGCTCATAGAAGGCACTCAGTGCCTGCTCAACTCTTCATTCATACAGAAATGTATAAATAATTCTACTTCTTCATTTTTATACAGTCTTAATCACTGTGGTAGGTGTTACTGAAATAGAAGAGTCCTTAGTTTTCCTTTAAAGCCAGATAACTCTCTTTCTTTCTTCCTTTATTCTTAGCAAGGTTTTTTTCCAGACATGACCCAAAGCTTAGTGTGTTGTTTGGATGAGGAAAATTTAGTTTGGCTGAGGAGACCATAATCGTTGTGTGTCAGTTAAGGCTTTGATCTTGTATGGAATTCACACTCAGATGGCAGAGCAGCTTCCTGTGGGGGGCCTCTCCTGGGCAGGACTTTCTCTGAACCCCAGAAGGCTGCACTACCAAAGCATTGCATGGGGCCATAAGAACTGGTGTTTATATCTGCATCTCTCCCACAGCATTATGGGCATGTACCCCTGCATTGAGCACACTGAGGAGCTGTAGCTTTAGATTAGCCCTCAAAATTTTTATTTTGTACTTTTATCTTGAGATATCTGATAAATATATTATGTAATATTGTTATGGTTTATGATCTAGCCAGTATTTTTTTTATTTAATTTTCAACAAGCAATCTACAACTGTGTGTTTCTATTCTGCTGTATTTGTCCGTATTTCCTATGATGATATTCTTAAATAAATTTGATTTGAGGGCAAAGATCATGAAGCTCCTGAGTGTTAGTTACAAATCTGCTTGACTGAAGCATTTGCTTATTTGCATACAGTTGTCTCTGAAAAGTGGCAGAGCGCAGCTGGCTGTTCCTGTGCCCTTTTCCTGCCTGTCACTCCATGCTTTGTCCATGGCTGTGCCACTATGCTGCACCAACTCACTTGCATCCTTGTGACTCCCTTGATGATACTTTCTCTCAGTGTGCTTTACCTTTTTAACCTTTACTACTCAGTCAGCCATCATATGAAGGAAATCATAACCAATAAAAAGTATTGTTTCCCAAATCTTTTTACCAGGGGCTGGCACTGTTAAAATTGCTGGTACTATTCAGGCCAGCACTGATTCTTCAGAATGGGTTCTGTTTTCAGAGGCACCTCTATGGCATGGTCCAGGCTTAATTAGCAAAGTTCAGTGGAGCAGGGCCTCAACCTACTACAACTGGAAATCAATGGAAAGAATCCTATTGACTTGAATTATGCTCTAACAAGGTGCATGATAGTAATAAATGAAGAATAACTCTGCCATATCTAGTTCTTTGCAGCTCCATTCAGCTCTCTTCAGCTATATGCTTGGGTGACTTTCATCTGTTGCATGTAAGCCAGAAGACAAACAAGCTGCTACTAAGACATCAAATTAACAAAGTAATCAAGTTCCCTAGTGGAAATGTATAGACTAGATGCTTTCAATTGACTACATATGAGAAAGAGTAAAATATAATATTAACGTTCTTCAATAGCAAATTAAAAAGACTTAACATTATGATAGTTTAAAACAAATCTTGTCTAGAGAGGAGTGTATCCAATTGTAAATTGTTTTTTGAAAAATCAAATCCTTCAAAACCTAAAAAATTCTAAAAATTGAGTAGAAACGACATTTAATAATGTAAAGAAAAGAAAGTGTCATCTCTCAGAAAAGTTTAGGCAATGTCCCTGGGATAGTTTTGCTTTCCTGGTCATTCAATTATTTAGTGGGTCTCAAGAGACCTCTTGTCCATGTACCAGGACAAAGATTTAGAAGTTTTACAGAACTCTGAGCTTCTAAACATTCCCTTGGGAATGAAGAGGCTACTCACAGAGTAATAAGTGTAGAGGGAAAAAAAAAACAACCACTGTGCTGCAAAACCCACTTCCCTTCTGCTCGGGCAAGTCCTTTTCCTCCAGCCCATTCTTACAAAGCAGCAAAGGCACTACTCCAACAAGAGTGGAGGGTGTATAGCTCAGCTCTTCAGTCAGGAGGAAGGGAAGCAAGTTTTGGTGTTTAGTAAACTGTCAGTTATTTAAGTAATTAAGTTGTTGAGGCAAATTAAAGTTCGCAAAAAAACACCAACAACAAACACAAAACAATCAAAAAAGTCTCAGTGAGCCAAAGAACAACCAGCCAATCAAAAATGCCACACCCCAAAGCCTAACCTCAAAAAGATAGTTGGAAGTCTGTTACCAACACTTCTTACGTAAGGATTGATTCCTATTGGAGAACTTGTAATTAGCTATTGTTAATTTCTCTGTTTTCAGCTGTCTTACTGAAATTTTAGCTGTTTTTAATTCTTCTATTGAAATTATTCTTCCCTTTCTTCGATTCTTCCCTCTCCTCTGAGAGTTATGTTATTCTTTCCAGTCAAAAATGAAAATTTACATCTATTTCTTGAGGCACTCCAATTCACTGGAATGAATGGCAGTGAATTTATGGTGAGCATTGTGACTTAATAGATGATGCATTTTTTTTCAGCATTTCTGTATGAGGAAGACTCCTATTCGGCTAGTTGCAAGGTGGTTTGGAGTAGGACAGAGCTAAGACTGCAGCCATAGGTAGTTCTGATGGACATGTGTGTGTTCACAAGCAAATAATGGGCATGAGACCAGGGCTACAGAGTTGATATTCCCAGCAAATTAGAGAATAAAAATGACATGAGCAATTTAAATATTATTTATAATTGACCTTCATGTCTGTTTTTAATATTCAATCTGCAGAGTGTTTAAAAAAGCAATTAAAAGTCCCATATAATGTTAAAGCCCCTGATAAATGCAATAAACAAATGACATATTCAAAAGAGAGAATCTATGTCCCATTAGGAGAGAAAAAGAAAGATGAGAGCAACATATGGCAGTATAATTAGCATGATTAGGGAAGCACATCAATAGAATTTATGCTGCAGGGAAAATGTAATAAGAAACCAACACACTTTCCTCACTGCCTTGAAAACTGCAAATATCGCTCTCTGAAAGGGAGAAGATGCGGAAAGACTCTCTGGCATTTAAAGCTCTAACTCGTGTTCTTCTGATTATTAAAGATGCACACAGCCATCTGCAAACCATTTATTTTTTGCAGAGTTCACATTGTCCCATTGCTTTGATTAATAAGGAGCAATATTACACCTCAGCTGCTTTTCAGAAAGATGCTATTTTGGAAACCTAATTAATACTCACTCCACTGTTAGCTTGAGGTGTTCGTTAGTGCCAGATACTGAGTTCTTATTTGTTTCTCATTATGTGGAGAGTATTGCTTCTCAATGCCAAGGTTTTTGTTTTGCACTTTGGAATAACCTTTCGACACTGCTGCTCCCCAGCCCTCCCTTCAGAAGAGCGAGTAACACCTGTCGTCATTATTTTAGGATGCCCATTATGTCTGTCAAAGACAACGGGGCTATTTAAATAGTTAGACAGTCCTGATGCACAGCAAAGATCCCTGCCATTTTCTGAACAGTTGGGCCAAAGAGAAAAGAAAAATTTAGAAATGTGGCAACGCAATTGTAATTTCAGCTCACCACTAAGGGTCAGTATATACCAAGAAAATGCATCATTACAAGACTAAAACAGAGTCAGTTTCTCCTAGCAGGAGCACTGGATATATTTGTAGAAAGCACAGACTACTTTAGAAGCTACCAGAACCGTCCAAGCCTATAGCAGAAATGCCCCTGCTGTCGGCAATGACCACACACAGACTCCATCAGCCAGCTCTACTATGTCTGGAGACCAGCATCGTGTCACCAAGCGGCCTGAGGCCCAGTGAAGGGGCACAGATGCCTTGCCTGATATCTGCCCAATGTGCTGCTGCTGGGGATGGCCCTGCTGTCTCACTGGGGAGAGCAATGAGAACACAGCACAAGAGATGCTGAACATCAACTCAATTGCCAAATGCCACACTCGCTGTGGAAAGGTCAAATGTAATTGCATGTGTGACGAACTTACAGAGCAGCTGAGACTCCTATTGCAACTCACCATTGTGCTGAGCAGCTAAAGGAGAGAAAGGAATAAGGTAACAGCCATACACACACAAACAGAGGATGTAATCCCTATGAAACCAGCAGTGGAGAAGGTGTCAGCTATCCATCCAGTGCATGGCCAACTTAGTGCTGAGTTTCACGTGCCACCTGCAGCTCTGCCTTCTACAAACCTGCCAGCAGAAAGTACAATCACCTCATGTTCCTCAGCAATAAGACCTCACATAGAAAGCCTCTGTCTCACCTGTGTAAGAGAAAGAGAATGAAAGAGGAAGGGGAAAGGAAAGCTGCACAGCGGAAAAGAGAAGAGAGGAGAGGAGAGGTGGGAGAGAGGAAGGTAGAGAGGGGGGGAATAGAGGGGGAGAGATGAGTGAGAAAGGGGGGGCGATGGGGGGGAGAGGAGAAATCTGCATTGAGCTGGGCTTGCACCGAACTCATTTGCATGGTACCAGGCACCAAACTTGCACAGTGGAGGCCCTAGAACATGCAGGGCCACACGTCAGTCCCTTCCCACCCAACAGCACTGGAGCCTACCCAGGCCGGGCAGACAGATACCCCTTCTCCAGAGAGCAGCCCAGCCCTGTCGTGCTAGATGTGTAGATATAGGTTCAATAGCATCAGCAGCAGAATAATGAGTGGTAATTTTTGTCTAGCAAAGTAGCTAATCAGAGCCTTTTCCAGTTCACATCATTGCAGACAACTAACAACACTTTGAGAAGACTGGGGTAGTTCTTAAAATATTGCAAGAGATTTAGTACTTAAACTGACAGTAGGATGACAGGAAGTTTTCTGTACACAGCACACCATACTTTTCCAAAAGAAAGGACACTGTCAGCCAAAACCTGTGGTCATTTTTGAACACAGTTCCTCTGACTTCAGTGGAAATTACACTTTAGAAATGACTTTTAAATCTTGGCTCTTACTTTGTATCTACTTAAGTATTATCTGCTTTTGCACCTGGAGAATAAACAACACATACCATCCTGTAAGTCAAGTCGTGGAATTTTTCCAACAAACTTATTAGCACAATGTCTCAATAAATCAAAGTGAAGAATCTGTCATGGAATAACAAGTATAACACAAGAAAAAAGAAATAAGGCTGTAAAATGCAATAACAAAGCTCCTTTAAATTGCTGTACATTAATGAGCTGTGGGATTCTGGGAAAAAGCTGAAATCAGTCCAAAGAGACAGTTTTCTTTCAAATCTTGCTGTAGCCATCATTCTGCAAATGTCACTTCCTGCAATATCTTGAAAGGAAGAACAGCAGCACAGAAAGGCCATAGAACATAAGAACATGATGAGAGATGAGAAGAAAAACAACAAATCAGAGTTGCTCATTAAAAAAGAATTATATTCATTACTTGCCTTCTTTTTTTTTTTTTTCAACCTCTTCTTTCTTTCTCCATCAGTTCAATCACGGAACAATGGGCTAATACAATCCATCTCTAAAAGTGTTACTTGAATTTTCTTTTGTCAACTCTCACACCACAAGCATGCAGAAATCATCTGTGTTTCTGAGCAAGTGAAAGAGTAGAAATGTTTATAGTGATTGTTAATATTTAGCATCTTGAAAGGTGCTCAAGGAACTTGCTGTGTTCTACCTGATCCATCAACTCCAGTTCTCAGCTCTCCAGCAGTGCCACCATCTGACTTTTCTCAGGCAGGTCAAACTGAGTAATAATAACATGGAAACAACATTGATGGAGGGTGAACAAAGATTTCCGTAGGAAAATTGCCCAACAACATCCTGTTTTGTTTTGAAAAGCAGATTTTAA